AAGGTGGGTTTAACTGAAACTCATCCCGACAGTAGTCTTCCAGGAACTTTGTTGACATCAAAATACTTGTAGTCTTCCTCTACATGTAGCAAATCTAACTGAATCTGATTGACAGTTTAACGATTAAATGGGTTTCAATTGTACAAAGTAAAATACACTGCAAGCATCTTATTCTTTTGACTCAGCAAGTTACAGGCCTCAAAAGCATCCCAGAACAAAAGCTGAGCCAATATAGATTATATCTTTTTTAAGAGGTAGAAGGTTGAGTATTTGTGGACATGTAGTGTCCAGTCTTGTCATTTTGGATTTGGGGTAAGGGGGACTTGGAAATTGCTCTTGAGACCAGCGTGTAATGTGTAATGCCTCCATCTGAAGTAACTAGAAGCTGAACTTTTTTTTTTTAGTATATGTATATATGTTGTTCATATATGGTTTCAAACTTAAACATCCCCTGAGGGCAGACTGGAATGTTATTATTACTGTGTTTTCATTTAATAATAAAAATGCATGTGTGTTTATATTCAGTTGACTTTAGGTAGTAATTCTGAATAAGTTTTATAGAAGAAGAGACAGAGAAGAACCATCATTTGCTACCAAAATAAACAAAAGGCAAAGTTGGACTAAGACTGTAATGCACTAATAATTACTATGATTGTTAGGCTATATGTTGTTTAATCTTATATTTTACAAAATATATGATAAAATCTAATATTATTTATTAATATACAATGAATAAGTAATTAATGTACAATGAATTACAACTGAATTTCATTTTCCCCCCTTTCTACTTGTTATTTTTATATTCTAAAAAAAAGTCTCGGCCTTGACTCAGGCTCTCCTCTAGTGACTAGAATTCTACATGCACTTTGATCTCTTAAAACTGCTTTCAGTCTCGCTAAAACAGGGTGCCAACATGCCTTTTCTCGTCTTGGTCATTACAGCCCAACATAATCTGAAGGGGCTCAACCAAGTAGAACTTATTCTTATAAAACAGAATCTTCCTGTGGTTGGTTTGTGGCCAATGTGTGAGCAGAAGCTAAAGCACTTTGTATTGTACTGTCATCAACAAGTTTTTTGGCCAGTTCCTGCAAAGCATGCTGTGGCACACTGTGTTCTTGAATGTCTGTGATTATTTTGTTCCCTATAACAGGTTCACAGGTTTTCAGTGAATTTATCAAGGGGTTCAGGAGACTGGTATATCATAAGTTGGCATCAAAAGATGGCTGTGCACGTACAACTTCTAGACTATTGCTCTGTAGTCGGCTAGATGTTCCATTGTTTCAGGAAGAAGTGTGGCAGCAACTTGAATTAGATCCCAGTTTTTGTGGTATCTTGCAACATGAGAAGTTTTACTGCAAGACTGAAAAGGACAAGTAGCAGCAAGCCCCTAAAATGAGCACATGAGTGAGACACAAACACCTTCAGAATTTCACAGTCTTTACTAGAGTAAGAAGAAAATGTTCTTACATAATTTGGAAAACGACAAGGAAATTTTTAAATTTTAAATTTGCCATTCTGGTCAACTGGTTATTCTATTAAAAATCTATAGAGGAAAAGTTCACAAAGATACCAAAGCATTAGAATGACAAAATAACAGTCTAAAAGCAGGGCCAGGAAGTAAAGGAATGCAAGAATCTGTATTTAGTCCAAGTTACAGTTTGTAAAAGCAGTATTCAGGATACAGTTACCTTTTACAGTTTAAGGAAAAGCTTCTAGAATACTTACTAAATAAAAAAAAACATGCAATTTTGAAAAGAAACATACAGAGGCCTGCTGGCAACATCCCGTATTTATAAAAATAACACGTGCCCATGACATAGTAAGGTCTGGAAACGAGATCCTAATACGTGGCCATGACTTAGTACGGCTTTGGAGAAAGATAATTAAGTCGTGGCCACGACTTAGTAAGGGTGATTAAGGGTTGATTTTATAGTGAATCACACTATGCTCTGTTTCTCGGCCCTCTCTTTGTATGTGCAGCCCTCTGTATGTGCCAGTTGTGTGACACTGACAGGTAGATTTGAGCTGCTTGAGTGCTTCAAATTATTATTATTATTATTATTATGATTATTATTAATAATAATAATTATAAGAAGAAGAAGAAGAAGAATCAGCATCATACAGATAGGATATGATGGTTATTTTTGAAACCAATATCTGATGAAGCATTTCTTGTACTCTGGAAGAGCAGACTGTTCAGGTACTGCTGGGCTACTGTGATAAACTGTATGTATTTTGTTCACTTTGATACAGATTCATAACCTTATCGAAATAAATGTTACATTTCTTTGTAATGCTAATCCAAGTGGATTTAACCCCAGTTTAATCATTTTATAAATATTTATCTAGCCACACTGACAGACTTGTACATGAAGAATATTAGATAATGGCATTGTCCCACAGTTCTCTTATCGGTGCACCTGTACAAAAGGTTTAAAAATGGCTGCTGCCACTGATTTTTAATTTATTTAGCCATTTTTATAGAAATCCAGTGTCAAAAATGACTCAGGGAAGTCTGCTTGGAATTGTCGCAGTTTGATGTTTGAATGTTAGTCATACCATTTGTTGCTACCTAAAGCTAGATACATACTTAAAGCTATCTACATACTGTTTTGCTCTGGAGGATTTGGCTCCATCCTCCAGGGTAAAATAATAGAAGCAAACTTTAGACACACATCTTGGATGACTCACTACATTTGTGGTATGAGGGAAGCTGTATAAATTAGTTTTTTATTGATGTATCAAGTATGCAGTGGTTGAACTGGAATGAGTCCAGGTGGGAGCGGTGCCCAGTGGTGAATGAGCCCTCATTTGATCATGGTGTAAATCTGGAATCCCAGGAGCTACGAAGCTGCTGCTGCTGGGCGTTCCAAATGACATCTGTCTATTCTTTGTCCAGCAGGTGGATGCCTTTGTGGTTGGCTTTTTGGTGAGTCTGATTTTGGTCACGTCCACAATGCCCTGCTTTACCTCCAGCTCCACCCCTATGGAACATTGCTGCAATGGGCACTATCTGCAATCTTTTTCATCAGCCGTGAGCATGGACACAAGCACCTGTCTGTACTCATTGTCTTCACAGGCTGGTCACACAGGCTGCTGTCCCGCATGTCCCTCATGTCCTGAAGGACAAACTGTAAACACACATTCATAGGCCATGATTTACATGCACAAACGGGTGACAGACTGTCATGTGGAACCAGCTGTATGGCAGGGTAAAGCGTACTACTTGGTCTATCCATGACAGAGAGGGACCTTTAAAGTATTATTTATGCCACTGTTTCCTAAAGGGGAATTCCACCTTTAAACATTTTTGCATAATTAAAACACAAAGTTTTTTCATGCTACCATGTGAAACATTCTTTCCTCGAGAAATGGACACAGTGCCCAAGCCATTAGGATCAATTAGATTCTCCCCCGGCAGGATCTGTTTTATTCTGTTCGAAGGTTTTGTTGATTTTCAGTAATGACAGAAAAACCTCAAACGGAGACACTGCACTCGGCTGGTCTCAAGAACGATCTCCGTATCCACTTTACCCCGAGACGGGGACAAGACACGAGTCAAAAAAGATGCACAGACTGTCAATTTATGGGACCGAGATCTGACTTGGGTCCTACTAAACTACACTACAACACTATTGCATTGTTGCCATTGCTGGTACCCATAGTTTTATCTTCATTCATTAAGAGAAATAATTCACAAATGGATTCCTAAATTTAATTTTAAATTTAATTTATGTAGCAAATAGCTGAAACAACAAATGGCTGATGAGAGACGCACTACTTGGCAAACAGAACTGTTAAAACAATGATCATCTTAGGCTTATAATTTCTCACACACCACTAAAGCTGTTTTCGTTTTACATTTACACTACTTTATTAGAACAGCTGGGATAGGCTCCAGCTCCCTCCGTGACCCAAAAGGATAAGCGGCTCAGAAAACGTGCGCGTTTGTGTGTTTGTACTTTATTAGAGTATGGTGCTGCCCTCTAGAGGTCAAATATATCACTTTCAAATCAATTTGAAAGATGGGGCAGGTCACATGGTCCTAAAGGGCTGGTGTCCAGCACAGATTGGTGATTTTTCTGCTCCAACACAACTTATTCATCTAATATTAATGATAATTAGTTTAGCAGGGAAATCATCAAACTACTGGACTCCAGCCCTCTACAATGGGAAATGATCACGCTTGTTTCGAGTGCAAAAGTCACTGACCTCTAGTTCTATGTTTGGTATGTAGTAGTCTTATGCTTGTAATACATCAAATGTATTTGGCAAAACAAAAAAGTATTAAGTCCATTATTATTATGCCCGAAGTTATGAATTATGGCCAAAGTTGGCCAGTTAGGACATTTTATTTAGCCCACCAGGAGTTACCATAACCCTGTCCACCCCTTCCCATATGAGTACAAACATACATTTTTTGCAAATTTTGTAAAAACTGATAATGTGAAATGTAGCATAACTTTCTAACAAGCCACACTGTGTTTTTTCCAATGTGTTAAATTCAGCTAATAAATAACTGTGCATTAAAATGTGCAAAGTATGTTTTCTGTAGAGAATGTTATTTTCACTTAGAAAATCAACAAAACATGTCCATTTGACCAGGGGTGCCAATTTTTGCTTGGCACCCCTGGTCATAACTCATTAAATACTTATTTTGATATTAAAAATGCCACTTCTGAAAAATTTTGTAAATGTTATGAAACATTTTTAAGCACCCTTAGAAACCTACCTACCTTGTTTAATATTTTATCCTTTCGGCCCTTGGCCCACCACAAACACTGCAATAAAAGTTTGGGCACTCCTGATGAGTTTGTTTTTTGTATTATTTAACTTTATGTAAATTTGTGCACCCGTGTGCACATCCAGCACAAATGTCAATATAGTTCAACATAGTATGTAACACAAGCAGCACAGTCGTGGAGTGGGGTGTTTTAAAGGGCAGACCAAGATTACTATGGAGTGTGGAGTCTTCCACAAAGATACAAAATCCAACAGAATTAACTTCAAAATGTTTATTTAAAAAAGACATAAATATTGAGCAGGTGAGTAATGTTCACAGTAAAAAAAAGTACATAGAGTTTCATAATGTCACAAGAAACTGAAAGATAAAGATGTGTAAGGTATGTGGATGAAAATGGAAAAGACAGAGGCCTGAAAGTGATTAAATGTTCATCCTGTTATGCTTGAATTAAACAGCTGCAATAAGATAAGAAAAGGAATTGCAAGACTAAAGGATGTTGACTGTTCTGCAAAACTTATTTTATGACTGACATTGCTTTCTTCAGGTTAGAGCTCCTAAAATCTGTTTTACACAAACTTTCTGTGCCTTGCCACTGCTGAAAATGCTTTATATGCCAACAATTATAGAACAATTAGTTTAAGAATTTTGAGACAGGAATTCCTGATCAACAGAATACAGTCTCTGTTCCACTTGAAAGTAAATTCACTACATTCAGTTGAAAGGAATAGAAACAGAACTGACGCAATGTTATCTGGTGTCTCTTATCTTCTGACAGTGTACATTTTAAATGGCGTCCTGCATTCTGTCACTGGGATTTCGGTGTGGGTAGAGGCCGACGGAACAGCAAAATGTGAGGTTCTGGCAGGAGGAGAAACACAGACAAGAAAGAAGAGAAAAATAACCACCAGTGAACACAAGTGCAACAACCATCACAGCAATAATCACAGAAGCAAACTTAGTATGTTACTAAAACTGGATCCCCACTGCAGTTTTGTGTTTTCCCTCGCCCAGAATCGTATCACTAACTAATCAAGTCATTCCTGAGCTGAATCAGGTGTTCAAGCACTGAAAATATACTGTGCAGTGTAGATCAGGCCTCTGGAACTAGAGTTGGGAAAACAGGGCTAGGCTATTTCTCGCAATGTGCTTTCACACCATTTTCAATGCAAGCATGTTCTGCCACAATCTTGTTTGGGCAAAAACAATTTACAAAGAGTAGGACAGCCCACCAAACTAACATGATTCCAAGCTTCAAAGGCTTGAAACTGGCTGACACTGCTAACCAGAAAAACCTGAATTTGGAGAAACTGCAAACGCTTCTTACACAAATTTTATTTCTATTTTATTAAGTCATTAACATGTAAACAGAATTCATTTAGAATAGTGTGATGTGAAAAGCCCCATTATAGAAAACTTACCAAGTAAGAAGCTTTCATAGTGGTGGTGATAGGAACCCAACATCTGAAGCATTTAACACATCTAAAAGCTCCCTCACAGATAGCTATGGCATTAAATGGTTATGAATGTGTTGACTGATGCCAGAGACACTGTTCTGCAATAGTTTTAAGATGAAGCTTTGGTCTAAAATGTATTTTTGTATACAAACATAGAGGAGAGGTACAGGCAGAGCACTGTAAGGCAAAACAGTTTCCAAACAAAACTTTTTCCCCCCACAGACCCTCCACCATACTTAGCAATAGGCATCAGGCTCTTTACAGTGTAGTCATCCTTCTTTTTACACCAAACCCACCTGAAGCATTTGTTGCCAAAAAGCTCGACCCCCCCTTCCAATTTCCCCATTTCATCTGTCCCAGTAGTTTAGTAAACTCCAGGTGCTTACATTTGTTATTAGATGACAGGAAAGTCTTTTACCTTGCACGCCTTCCAAATAATCTGTTGACATGGAGGGTGTCTGATAGTAGTTTTTGAGACTTGGTGACTCCTAAATGCTACTTTTTTTATTTAATTCTCCAACAGTGACCCTTGTTTTTTTTTTTGTTTTTTTTGCACGAGGGCAAAATAAAATTGGATCCTTGTCCAGGCAACTTTGTCACAGGTCTGGTCAACTGGAACCTTTGAATTCTTGCCCTAACTGAGGATATGGGCATTTTCAGGCAAGCAGCCATTCCTTGACTAATATAGGTCAACACACTTTGCCCTCATCTGAATTGTGTTTTGTCTTGTCTTTCCCATGTTGAAGAATGACAGGGGATGTGTCCAGATCTTTTTGCTACTGATACTGATACCCTTCCTACTGCTCCTCTCCTACCCCAGAAAAACACAGGAGGGATCGAGCAGAGGAGAGGAGCAGGAAGAATGGAGAGAATGAACAGAAACTAGGGTAATGGGACAGCTGATTCCTTTCAAAATAATTAAAACTGATATGGACTATTGATGAAATGAGCCCATCACAACATTTGCTTGAAAGCATGGCTATTCACTTGAGTATTTTCCTACTGTATGTTTTTTTTTCTCTTCATTTTACACCAAGTACAAAATACACAATACATAATTACATTATTCCATTCCATTACATTATTAAGGTATAGCTAGACTGCCGTGTGTTTGTCTCACCTGTCTGGGCATGTCTACAGTGATGTCACTCTAAAATCTGTAATAGACTTCCTCAGTAGCATACAGTCCTGCATCCTCAGCTAGAAGCTTCGGCAAGTATTTTAAGTGGCTCCTCTTGTCTCCTCTAATATTTGGACAACCGATAAGATGGAGGAGGAGGAGGAGAGGAGGAAGATTGGTAGGAAAAAGTAGTAACTTTCAGGGTTACTGGACAAAGATATACACACATACACTATATTGCCAAAAGTATTCTCTCGTCTGCCTTCACACGCATATGAACTTGAGTGACATCCCATTCTTAATCCATAGGGTATAATATAATGTCGGCCCACCCTTTGCAGCTATAACGGCTTCAACTCTTCTGGGAAAGCTTCCGACAAGGAGTGTGTTTATGGGAACTTTTGACCATTCTTCCAGAAGCGCATTTGTGAGGTCAGACACTGATGTTGGACGTGAAGGCCTGGCTCACAGTCTCCGCTCTAATTCATCCCTAAGGTGTTCTATCGGGTTGAGGCAGGCCAGTCAACTTCTTCCACACCAAACTCGCGCATCCATGTCTTTATGGACCTTGCTTTGTGCACTGGTGCACAGTCATGTTGGAACAGGAAGGGGCCATCCTCAAACTGTTCGCACAAAGTTGGGAGAATGAAATTGTCCAAAATCTCTTGGTCTGCTGAAGCATTAAGAGTTCCTTTCACTGGAACTAAGGGGCCGAGCCAAACTCCTGAAAAACAGCCCCACACCATAATCCCCCCTCCACCAAACTTTACACTTAGCACAATGCAGTCAGACGAGTCTATCAGATTGCCAGACGGAGAAGTGTGATTCGTCACTCCAGAGAACACATCTCCACTGCTCAAAAGTCCAGTGATGGCGCTTTACATTGCGCTTGGTGATGTAAGGCTTGGACGCAGCTGCTCGGCCATGGAAACCCATTCTGTGAAGCTCTCTACACGCTGTTCTTGAGCTAATCTGAAGGCCACATGAAGTTTGGAGGTCTGTAGTGATTGATTCTGCAGAAAGTTGACGACCTCTACACACTATGCGCCTCAGCTTCCACTGACCCCGCTCTGTCATTTTACGTGGCCTACCACTTCGTGGCTGAGTTGCTGTCATTCACAATCGCTTCCACTTTGTTATAATACCACTGACAGCTGACTGTGGAATATTTAGTAGCAAGGAAATTTCACGACTAGACTTGTTGCACATTTGGCATCCAATCACGGTACCATGCTGGAATTTACTGAGCTCCTGAGAGTGACCCACTCTTTCACAAATGTTTGTAGAAGCAGTCTGCATGCCTAGGTGCTTGGTTTTATGCACCTGTGGCCATGGAAGTGATTGGAACACCTGAGTTCAATGATTTAGATGGGTGAGTGAATACTTTTGGCAATATAGTGTATATATACACCCCAGTGAAACAGGAAGTCATGGATTACTGCTTCTAGACACTCACATGTTGATTCACTGGTCACTCTGAATAATAAATAAAATGGCAGTATTTGTGTTGTAGACACTGTGACTCCTATCATCACCACCACTGTAAAAGAGTCCTAGGTTTCTCGACAATTTTTTTCTGACAATCTCAGATGATCTTTAGAAAGACAATTTACACGCATACTATAGTCATTTCCACAAACCTGGCTGATGGATCATATAATGTACCCATCCTTGGCTCTGCTGAACGCCCAGATTCCGCCACTCCGTCTCGGACATCAGATGTGTCTTCGGTACCCGTTTGGCGATGTCTTTGGGCAGCATGACGTGTCTGAAAAACCATAGACAGGAGTGTGTCGTTTCAGCTTCCTTTATTGAAATCAAGCTACTTAAATCACTGCATGTTCAGACTATGAATAAAGTGAATTATAGTTAAGTAGCTACCTGTACTCGAACTTTTCGTCATCATATTTGTCCGAGTAATAAATCTGCTTGTGAGACATAGCGTGGTATCTACTGTAGTTCTCTAAACGGGACACAAAGACACAGTGAAATTAGCTACATCACAGCAACCTACAGTTAGAACAGAGTAAACTATGTGGGAGTTAATGACCTCGTACTTCACTTAACATGCTAGCTTGCAAACGTTAACATAAAGCGTACTTAAGTCAACTAACTGAAAAGTGAGGTTGCAGAAGCTGACATTATAAAGCAGGCGAGACTAAAAACAAACGAGTTCGTTTCTATTGTAAAAAGGTTCAACTGGTAAAATACTCGACCCTTGCGCGTATGTAACGTTGAGTTAGCTAACCTTAGCTAGCTAGGTTAGCTATTTATTTAACCAACGTAAACATTAGCAATTTGCTCGCTGGCTAACTTGTAAAGTAGGATTCAGCGCTGATTTAATGATTCTAAAATACATACCGGATTTGTTTCTAGCAGAACGTCAGTAAGCTAGTCAGATTTATATCCGATGAGCAGCGTGTCAGTAAGTTGATCCTCGGCTTCACTGACAAATTTCCCTCTCAGAACTCACGGGCCCGCCCTCCAGCATTCAAACAAGGAACACGCATTCTTATTGGACGTTTGGTAGTGAGTTACTGTCACATGGTTCTAAACTCGATTCCTATTGGCTATGAAGCTTTGTTGCTTTCCCCTCCACCATCTCTGTCACTCGGTCACCCGGCAAAAATGTCTCCATACATTACTGGGTGTTTCTGCGACTACGGACAGTTTGGGCTGTCCAGATATACAGGCCATGTTCTGCTATACAAGGGATGTTATTGTAAAGATTTTTCCAGTTTTTCAGTCCAGATGGGAAAGAGCTTGTCATGTTACATCAGCTTTGCCAGACAACTTCTGATGAATTTAACTTTGAAGGGGAAGTCCACAATTTTTCAAAATGTCTGCATAATTCACAGGCTGAGATGTAAACAAAGACATTCAGAGTTGATTGATGTGAAATGGTTCCTTTGTAGAAAAACTTACCAACTCAGATTCCTTACAGTGGCGATAGGAACCAGAGGTCCTGATGTTGACAACACAAATATAGCCATGTGAGAATGTGAATTAGTATGAATGAGAATATGAATGAAGGAGAATGTCTATGAATATGAATATATGAATATGAAATTCCATGTACTAATTTCATGTAGTCTAATTTAAAACACAATATAAATGCAGTAGAACATGCATAAAATACTTTGAAAATTATCCTTTTTTTGCTTTTCTGTAAATCCAGGTACAGGGATTAGGTTTCTCACACTTTTGTCCATATATTCTTTGAGTAACTTGTGTTTCAATTGAAGGTAGGTTTGTTTGGCTTAGGCTGAAAAAAAAACAAACAAATTTATTTTAGGTCATTTGGTCAGTGTCATGGTAAGGACATATAAATATGGCATATTTAGAGGAAAAATGACAATTACTAATCAATAGTAACAGTATTTATTTAATAATGTTTTAATTTAACATTTATACAGTGCCGTTTCAACTGAGATGTCATTTGAAATGTAGTAACTTTTATGCATTTGAAGAAGCGGTGGCACATCACAGGTAAGAGACATAATTAAAAGTGGTATTTCATACATTTACATTAGCTACCTAGTTACATTAGCAGTATGTTTAGCAACCAATTATTATATGAAAGAGTGTTGTAACACTGCTAAATCATTCGCTATGTTATGCTAAAAATGTTAACATATATGCAAAAAATCACTGCCGGGGCCTAAAAGTGCCTGTAGTTGCAGAAACACCCTGACACATTGTGTATAAATTGGAAATAAATACACACAGGTTATATATTTTTTTGTTCGGAGTACATATTACTACAGGTTTGTATTACGTTCCAATAGCTAAAGTGTTTCATACTGTTACTGTTGAATCACACCCACAATATCATGGATGAATCATCCTCTCTAGATCTTAATAAAGCACATAATTTGATACTTTGGTGTGCCTGTTTTTTTTCTTTTCAGAATTCAATATTACGCCGGAACAGTTTTGGATGAACTGAACTGCACTGAACAAATAAGCTAAACACCCATCTTACTAGGCTTACATAATATTTTTGTAAACATCTTCCATTACATCATTCCAGTTCTGGAGCACAGGTATTTCCAGAGCAGTATGTAAACCATTCTGAATTGAGGTACTCATAGTGTGGAATAAGTACAGATAAATTTTACAAATGCAATTCCAAAAAAATGGGACAGATAAATACACAAATAAAAACAGAAAGCAGTGATGTATAAACCTACAATCTACTTTGACCTGTATTTGAACAAAAACAGGGCAAAGACAGGGTATTTAATGTTTTATCTTATCTACTTCATAGTTTTTGTAAATACACACTAATTTTGAAATTGATGGCTGCCACACATTCCAAAAAGGGCAGGGGGCAATTTATGGCTAGAAACACTGTGAAATATCTAAAACAGGTGAAGCAATCATGCTTGGATAAAAGAGTATCCAGGAAAGGCCTAGTCCAAGGACGGGTCGAGGCTGCTACTTTGCTAAAAATGAATCAGCAAAAAACCCAACAGTTTTAAAAATAAATTTGCACACATAAAATTTCTTATGAATGTACTAATATATCGCATATATTAATAATGCATACAATGCATGTATATGCACTGCTTGGTTGACTGAGCCTTGATCTCATAAGTATGTGAGCAAAATAAACATAAGTAAAAGCACATTCTCTCTACAATCACCACACTATCTCAGTATAGTTTTACAATACTCTTTCCACCACTGCTTGATCAGTTTATTGAAGACAATTATGAACTAATAATTTATCCCACACATTAACTGAAGAAACATTTTTTAATCACTTGCAGACAGCTCTATCAGTCGGCTCTGTACAATCAACAATTTCAGTTGCTTCTTTGGTAAATGAAGAGTTAGATGGAAATAAGTATGTAAATCATGTAAGTTATGAAATTTTGCGGCCAATTCCAATTTCTTTACAACTATATTGTGTGATGGCTTATTTTTTGGCTGATTTTTATTAGCCTTTTTGTTTAAACTCAGAGCTCTCATTGTGTGGGTTATAAATAACATACAACATTTTTTTTTCTTCCATTGGCCAAACTGGCATTTTTAAATTAAACACACACACACACACAAACTTTTTTAGCTGCTTATCCTTCTGGGTTGCAGGGGGTGCTGGAGCCTATCCCAGTGGAAGGCAAGAAACACCCTGGATAGGTCCCCAGTTCATCACAGGGCAGACTTAAATTAAACAGAAATAATAATTAAAAAAAAGTAAAAAATAATAAATTGGCTTACTGTGCTTTTAAAACGTAATATCCAACACATGTTAAAGGGGAACTCTTTTTTCTAAATTTCTATATAATTAAATGGTTGAGATGTAAAGTCAATGAGAGGGGTTTGATGCGAAAGGCTTTGAAACTAGTCAGACTTGTTCACAGTGGTGGTGATAGGAACCAGATGTCTAAAGATTTCACTGTCTGAAAGCTCCCTCACAGAAAGTTATTACATCAAATGGTTGGACATTTGCTGCCTGATGACACATTGTTTTATATTTTTGTGATGACGTTTCAGCTTAAAATGTATTTTAATCCAGTAATTTTTACAGAGCACTATAAGGCAAAAAATATATATTTTTTTAGATTTGCCACTATTTAAACTAAACTCAGTGGTTTCTATCTGAGTCTGTACTTTCTTTACAGTAAACCGTTTCACATCAAACCACTGAATTACTTTGGTTTAATCTTCAGGACTGAATTATTCAGAAATTTTGAAAAATTGGTGGAATTCCTCTTTAAAAAAAATGCTTTCCACTTAATTCACTGACTGAACTCAAAATGTTACTCATCTTAATAAACACGTGTAAATGTGTAAACAACAGTACAACCACTCTTTCAAATTTCTCGATAGCTAAGCGTTAATCAGCTGACCTCACCTGGCATGGCCTGCATGCAATTACAACCAAAGCAAGAGCAAATCAGTCAGGGCATACTGAGGGTGAGATCCTGGAAGGGAACAAAATTCAGAACCTGTGGGAGGACGAATCAATAATCAACCGTCGAGTACTATGCGCTGTAAAATATGCAATACCATTTATAAGCGCAGTACTTGAACTCTTTTAAATGCAAAGCACCAAATTATATATTTGGGTCGCTGGTTTGCAATGTTTGTTTTTTTTTCCGCGCGACATTGTTATCTGCGCGGACCTGGCCATAGTCGAGTGGTGACGGGAAGTTAAGGCGCTTCAACTGGAGCGAGGATAGTCGGGAATCTCCAAATCAGGTAAACAAATAAATGTTTGCGCACGGAAATGTTCACAACACACGATTTCTACGGTCCGATTTCAGCAGCATGCGTTACAAGGCATGTTTTGAAATCTATACACATGACATTATTGCAAAAGTTAACGCTGCATTTACTCTCAGTGGCCTTGGTTTAAATGACCCCTCGCTGGCTCGGTGGCCGGAGAGCTCCGCCGTCATGGAGGAATAGGGAGCCTGAAATAAACTTTAGCCAGCAGGCTAACCCGCTGCGCACCGCCGGACGGCTGCGTGCTCTCATTATTTAGATAGCAGGCTAACCGTTGCGTACTGATACGGATCATACGGACACACATAATGATGCGCGTCACCAGAAGCTAACCGTGGGTCTAATAAATAACATTTAATAGACAGTGATGCTGCTGTTCGAGATGGTTCATATTCACAATTAGCCAGCTAGCCGAGTAAGATAGCAAGCTAGGTTAGCCTGTAATGCGTTACCGTAGCCAGAGCAGCTAGCTGACGGGTTAGTTAGCTTAGCAGATATCGGGCTAATGTTAGCATGTGCTCTTGCTCAATTGAATATGCAACTCAGTCGGTCCTAAGAGGTATTACTGACTGAATGGTCCACTAATTTGGAAAAGTTTCTGCTTGTTCACTTTTGAATGACAATTAACTAACTTAGTGTACCCTTGGTAGAACTACGAACATACGGATAGGCAGCTTGCTTGACTTTGGTTAGCTGCTTTGTGTTTTACCAGCGTGATTGCTGTTGGCGGTTGACAACTCACAACGTGTAACTACTTAATACCTGATATTTGTGTGGTCCCTGTAATGAGTGTTGACAGTGAGCACCACCTTGCTTTTAACGCGCCTGATTGTGGATCCACCTCACAGGAGACGCGAATTTCGTGTTCAGCTAGTATGCTAAACAAAGCCATCTAAGTGAAAGGAGGTAGCTAGCCCGTTAATGCCACTGTGAAAGTAGCACTATGTTACGCTTAATGTTTATGTAAACATGTCTAACCAAACACCTGGGGAAAATCAAGGGGCTAAAGCTAGTGGTCGCAGTATTATGCAGTTGTTCTCACAAACAGCTGTCATTTGTAAACAATTAGTTGAGAGATTTACAGTTAAACAGAGATTAATCTGTCAACATTAAAATTAGCTTCCTGTACCATGTAGTTAATTCATTGAATAGTTAGCTAACAGTCGTTATGGTCAAAAATTGTTTTTTACATCACATCCCAAACAAACAGTAACACAATCTGATTTTTTTTGTACAGGATTGAGTCCACTGTCCCGGCATGGGGGACATGAAGACCCCCGATTTTGATGACTTGCTGGCAGCGTTTGATATTCCTGATATTGATGCCAAAGAGGCCATTCAGTCAGCACCTGAAGAGGTGGAGGGGCACCAGGGGTCAAGCAGTGGGACTCTCACAAAATTAGGCGAGAGTGGAGTTGGAGGAAATTCAACCATTAGAGCCCCCAGCCCAGCCACAGATCCACAGAGTGACCCCTCTATTGTTAGTGTAATTGTGAAGAACCGGGTGCGTACAGAAACATTTGAGGGTGGTGATGTACCTGTGTCAGAACCACTCAATCATAATGGATTTGTGTCCTCAAGTGGGCCAGCTCATCTCTCTCAGTCTCGAAGCCAACCAAATGGGGAACAGTGGCCACTGTGTACTTCAAAAGTGACTTCAGAAACCACTGGGCAAGTGCTTGGGCCTACAAACACTTCCAAGCAAAGCAGCAACATATTCAATAAGTTGAAGCCCCTGATGGCACAGGGGGCTGGAGACCCTGTTGGGAGGGCCAGAAAAATGCAGCTGTTGCAGCAGCAGCAACAGATGCAGCAAGAAACAGGTTTAGAGGGAGCTGACAAGGCAAAAGCCGCCGTTATTCCTGGTGGAACAAGTGGAGTCGCATCTCCTTTTTTTCCTCCTCCCAAACCTTACCTTCCGACACCCACCACAGTTCCTTCTTCCTCACCCTCATCTTCCTCTCCTTCTGTTGGATCCCGTGTTTCAGGGGCTGTTGCCTCATCACCACTTGCTACAAGTTTAACAGAACCATTCAATGGAACTCCACGCCATGGTTCTTCTGGATTCAGGCGTATGGACTCGGAGGAGGAGGATTCAGATCCTGACTCTGGGGGTTCTCTGGTCATCCAGGAAAGTCCAGGTTCTCCCACCTCACCAAAACATTCACGCAGGCTCAAATCTTCTGCTGACAGTTCAGAGTCCTCTTCACTCCCCCACTCAGCACCCTTGTCCTCGGCTACCTACCCTAAACCAGGGGATGTCCCCTCGGCCTCACCAGCATCCCCTCGGACACCACAGAATTGGCTTTCCTCACCTACTCAGACTGGGACTGGAAAAAGCCCACCCCCAGACGAGCGAAACCCAGAGCATGTCATTGAGGAGCGTGACTCGCCAGAAAGTCCGGAGCCTGAGATCCCCAAGGCTTCAGTTACAATGCCTGCAGCTTCCAAGAAATCTTCTAGTCCAGTGGCGGCTCCTTCATCACCTACAGGCCTTCGTGAGCCTAAGGAAGAAGAAGAGGAAATGGAGGTGGCTAAAGGAACAAACGAAGACAGTGGAGATACAACTCATTTAGGAAGTCAGGACAATGAACAAAAAGAGGAAGACAAGATGGAAGTGGAAGATGAGAGTGATTCTACCCAGTCACCAATGAACCCCAACATCAGTGCACCTGATATTAGTGGGGGCACAGCAGTTGATGGTATTGTACCCTCCAGGCCTCTGAAAGTCCGCATAAAGACCATCAAGACCTCCACAGGAAGCATCACCCGGACAGTTACCCGTGTGGCAGGCAAAGGAGGTGATGCAGGTGTAGGCAAAGGCACAGATGCTGCAAAAGTTCAGCCAGGAGGTCGGACGGTCCCTGCTAACAGAGCTCGAAAAGCAGAGACCACAACTGGTCGAATTGTGAGAGGATCCAGCCTACCAGTGTCCACGCTAGAGGCCAGCAGTGCTATGCTAGCTGCAGCGAGTAAAGCTCAAAATAAAATAGCTGTCTCTTCTGACAAGACAAAGGTTTCTGCTACGGCAGTCAGTATCACGAAAGCTGCCAACCTACCTGTGACACCTACAGTTGGTGGAATCAGCGTGCGTGCTGCTACAGGGAGAGCAACTAACGGAGCTGCGTCTAATGTCCACGTACCTTGCAAGCCGGCCTCTATTGTCAACAGCACAGGAGCTGTTATTTCTCGCAGTCAGTCAAGTCTGGTGGAAGCTTTCAACAAGATCCTCAACAGCAAGAACTTGCTGCCCAGCTACCGTCCGGATCTCTCTACTCCACCACCGCCGGAGTGGGGTCTCCCCATGCCGCCTGCAGGCTATCGCTGCCTGGAGTGCGGAGATGCATTTGCACTGGAGCGTAGTCTGGCACGCCACTATGATAGGCGCTCTTTAAGAATTGAGGTGACTTGTAACCACTGTGCAAAGCGCCTGGCCTTCTTTAATAAGTGCAGTCTGCTGCTGCATGCTCGGGAGCATAAAGAGAGAGGGCTGGTTATGCAGTGTTCACATCTGGTTATGAGACCAGTCACTGTGGAACAGATGATTGGCCAACAGGACACCACTCCCATTGGTATTATTCCAATCGCTATTAGTTAAAACTTGTTACTTTTGCATAATGCATAATAATTAATATTCATTGAATACACAGTAGTTACCCATTCCACTGTATTTAGAATGAGAGCATAATGATCATTTATTTCTCTCACTGTTCTACTTCTAGGTATGCTCTCGCCATCAGTATCTTCTCAACCTCTGTCAACCCCCTGTACACAATCTGGAACCCCCTCTGTCTCTTCCACCTCTAGTCCACTTAAGGACTCCTCTTCACAAGGCATGGCTCCTTCCCAGCCCAGTCCGGCTCGCCGTGGGCCTCAGAGTCCTCATGCCCTAATGCCTCTTCCCTGCAAGAAGGGCGAGGTCCTGCAGTACCACAATTTCAAATGTCCTGAATGCCAGGCCCAATTTTCAGGCAAGGCAGAGCTAGTGGCCCACTTCCAGCAAATCAGAGCTACACCCAATTCAGTGAGTTTCACTAATGCTCTTATTAATGCCAATTCATGACGGTCAGTCTTTTTTTCTGTGTCACCAAGTCTGACCTTGTATAATTTTCTGCTTTTTTTCTATCAGACTTGTATGCTTTGCTCTCCACCAATGATGCTCCCTAACGGTTGCAGTGTGTCAGCTCATCAGCGGATCCATAAGCACCGTGCTCCTCATGTGTGTCCCGAGTGTGGGGGCATTGCTCGTCAAGCCACCTTTCAGACCCATCTAGAGGAAGCCTGTCTGCACTTTGCCAGGCGTATTGGCTACAGGTATTATTTTAAAAATGTCCATAAATATGTAATAGTGTACAACAGGTTTTATAAAACACAGGTGTGTAATATAGAAACCTCTGAAAGTGATGGTTACCAGCATGGCATGTCATTTTTTTTTTCTTCCAGCACTGTTACAGGATACAGTAACAGTTTGTAGTTTAAAGCAGAACAGATGTTCGTGAAGTGCTGCACATGCTGTGTTGCAGTGACTAAATACTTACATTTCTGTTTCACAGATGCTCCAGCTGTCAGGTGGTGTTTGGTGGCCTGAACTCCATTAAGTCTCACATTCAGACTGCTCATTGCGAGGTGTTCCACAAGTGCCCCAATTGCCCAATGGCCTTCAAATCAGCAGCCAGCGCCCAGGCTCACATCAGCACCCAGCACCCCACTCTCACTTCTGCACAGGCAAAGTATGCTCTAGGAGACACACAGCTTATACAGATGTAGACACCAGTAGCTCTTAAAGTGGACCTCAAGGACCCCCAGATAGATGCTACAGATTATTGCTCCAATCTAACTTGTAACTCGTAGGTATGGAGCAAAATGTGTTCTCTGAGGGAGTCTCTGAGGACCAGTTTGAGAACCACTGCTATGCACCAGAGATGACATTGTGAAGTTAGCTTTATTAACTGTATGTGCATGACAACTTGCAGAATGTGAAAGTTCATCAGAGCCTAAACATATAGTGCAATGTGTTGCTGTAGCGGCAAAAGTATTGCCTGCTAAAATAGATGAGATCTGCACTTAAAACAACCAACAGCTTTTTTTTTTTTCTTCTAGCAAGTTGTTCCTCCTGTATTTAGCAACACAAAATACTTCCTGTCCCTGAGCTTGTACAATACTTGGCAAAAGGAACTGGTCATAATAGGCCTGTGCCTTTTACCACAGGCCTATTACCACCAGAGTAACAGAGCTGTAACAGCTGTAAAAGGTTAAACCGTTGGGTTTAATGCCTAGCAATAACAGTAATGACAATGAGAACATTACATAAAAAACACTTTAACACGTTTTAGTCCAGTAGTTTTGAGACACTCCCTAATGAAGTGGATGCAGGAGAAAACACTGATTAAGTGTAAATCTTTGTAAAATGAAAACACAAGTGCAGTTTGGTAAAAACAATATGGTTGTTTTGTTATTTTTTTCAAAAGACTTTACTGTCCAAGGACACTGGCTTAGCCTGATGCCTTCTTCTCTGAAACCATTTCACCTGAGTCACTTTGAAATGGTGCATTTTGTCTAATACAACACGTGTCTCAATACTTGGTTATATTTTAATTTGATAGAATTCAGATACTCTTGAGCACAAATTAATTATTTGCTATTATTTTCTCCATCTGTATCTTTCAATAGGATGATCTACAAGTGTGTGATGTGTGACACAGTCTTTACCCAGAAGCCTTTGCTGTATATGCATTTTGACACTCACCTGGCCAAGCAGAAAGTCCATGTTTTCAAATGTCCAGATTGCACCAAATTATATGCTCAGAAGGGTTCTATGATGGAACACATCAAGGTTGGTTTCTGCAGTCATTTAGTGCATCATTACATATTTTATTAAGCTTTTAAGTTGCACAATACATTGTTATAGTACAAAAGTGTTTTAAAACTCTTGCCTTTTTGTGTTGCCCATTCTTTGCGTTTCCCTCAAAAGAATGTGGTGTCAACAAAGGCATACAGTAGAGTCTTGGTTTGGCCTTTACTAGGTAACAGTCAGTGTTACCTTGCGCAAAGCTCTGCACCAAGCACACAGTTAATTTCAGACAGAATTGTCAGCTGATGTGTGTTATGTCTCTTGCTCCTCTCTAATTGGTCTTGTTCCACTTGCTTCTTGCGCAGACTGCCCACAGAGGCCTGTCAAGCAAAGCAGAAGCTCCACCTGCTGCTTCATCCCCTGTTTCAGCCTCTGCTGCTAACTCCAACTCAAGAGCCAAACAGTCAGGAGTAACTGTTGGCTTTGAGGACTGTGCCCAGGGACAAGGGGAGGAAGAGGAGAAAGAAGAGGAAGGTGAGGAGCGAGAGGAAGAGGAGGAGGATGACGACAATGAGGAAGAAGAGCAGCCCAGTTCTCCAGAGAGTGGAAGCATGGAGTGGAGGTGCAAGGAGTGCAAGACACGCTATTCTGAGAGAGAAGATTACATTGACCACATGAAGAAGGATCATGGCACGGTACAGACAGTACACATCAAAGCAAAAAAGAAAAAATCATTGCATACTACTTTGTCTGCTTTTGGGAGGGTTCATGATAAGGATTTTAACAGAAATGTCTCTGCCCAGATGTGCATTGCTATTTCAAAGATAAAACTATGTTGAGACTTACAAATGTGTCCCTAAATAAACAGAAGTTGACATTATGAAGTGATGTACTGATGTTTTATTCTCTGGTACTTGTAGTTGATGAAGAAATTTCCATGTCGGATGTGTGAGCGTTCCTTTAGCTCGGCCAACAGCCTGCGGCGCCACGTTCGTGTGATTCACGAGGGTGTCGAGAGAGTCTTCCACTGCCAGTGAGTCAGCAAAGCCTAAACATCTTCATGTCCTCTCAAATGATGTGCACTGTATTATATAGAGTATGGACTATATATGCAGTCCTTTAAGTTCTCGTTTGGACCTCATATACTCAAGTGATCACACAAACAAACCCAGTCTACTTTAAATAACTAATTTGAGCATTATAGGAAGAATAACTTATAGCACATGGTGACACTTATACACAGAAGCTTACAGCAACTTCAGGAATGCAAAAAAGAATCTGTTCCTCAGCTGCATTTCTTCTCATTTCAGGTACTGTTCAGAGGGCAAGCGAACATTCAGTAGTCGACTGATTTTGGAGAAACATATCAGAGTCAGACATGGCATCCGAGCTAGACAGCCCGTAGACAGACAGGTAAGAAAAGCCTCTTCTGTGTCTCAGTGAATTTAATTAGGAAATGGATGCTAACATACAACAGTCTGAGAACAGCATGTTTTCACCATACCTTTATCATTCTGCTGACTACTGGTTGCTAAGTAACAACTACAGTTGCTTTTATGGGTGCCAACTTGGGCTAAACAGGTTAAATCCAAGTAATATCCTAAGCCAATGAAAGTCAGTTTTGTTGTTAATGTATGCCCTTTAGGTTTAGCTTTGGCAGTTCCCTTCCAAACGTGCATCTAAAAAGAATAATTTGGATTTAGCCATGGGTTAGCCTCCATCCTTCCTTTTTCACCATATTTGCAAAAAACGAGACCTTATGCTTTAATCTGGCATTAGGGATGACTAGAGTGACCAGAAAAAAAAGTTTTCATTAATGCTGCTGCACTGGGAACCATTCGACAAACATCAAATGGAGTAATTTGTAGTGCACTGCAGTTGACTTTTGTTGCTAGTTACTGTAGTTAATAAAATAGGTGTTAATACATTAAGCTAGTGTTTTTGCATTGTAGACCAGCATGCTAAGAAGCAGCAAGTCAGTTTTGCATATGTGCAAAATAACAGGCTGCCGTAGCTGTCCTTGCAGCCAGCAGTGCTTAACATCTGTGTTTTCAAACTGCAATTTTACAGTAGTGGCTGTTTTCCAACTGCTCTGTAGCCTTTCAGATGATAATGTTTAACTATGAGTATTAATTGAAAATTATAAGACACTTGACAGATCAAATTAAAAAGATAAATACCAAAAGAGACATTTAATTTTAATTAAATGCAAAATTAGAGATTTTTTTTTAAATGTTTCTTAAAAGGGTGTGCCAAGCTTGATTATCTGATAAGATATGGTTCCACAGTTTGGAAGCAGAATAACTGAAAGAGGCCTCTCCAGATTTTCTGTATTTTATGGAAGGTATTTGTAGAAGGCCAATGTCTGCAGACCTAAGATCACATGTTGGAACATAAACTGATACAGACGGGTGCTAGGTTATTTAGAGCCTTAAAAACTAGTAGCAGAAATTTAAAGTAAAGTTAAAAGATACAGGTAGCCAGTGCGGTTCTTTCAAACTGATTAAGTGATTGTGTTAGAAAGTTTTGCAAAATCATCTGAGAAATATCTGACACACACCTGGTAAGCCTGCCAGTAGAGTCTTCAACAGGTCAGTCGGTCATCAGTAGGAATAGAAATATATAATTGCGTGTTGTCAGCATAGCTATGAAAATTGCTATGTTTCCTAATGACATCACCTAAAGGTAACGTACAAAGACCCTAAAATGGAACCTTGTGGGACTCTGATGATGATGTCCCAGTGAAGCCATTAATTCAATTAAATTCAACTTTGTCACTATACCAGAACAGGGTTGTACAGTATAATGAAACACTGCCTGGCTATTTCTCTCTGCAGCGATTAATAAAATAGGTTAAAAAAAATAATTATAAAGGACAATAGATGAAAGCACAGTGACAACTGGTGTGTAGACAGTATATACAGATATGTGTATGAACAGTAACTTTAGGTCAGAAGGCACAAGAAAGCCAATGCTTTGATTGAATAAGTGACAAAGTGTATTTGAAAACTAAAGAACAAAAATCTAAATGGTTGGTCTATTTTCTAAATATGATTTAAACCATTCTAAAACTGTGCCTGAGAGGCCTACCCAGCACTGAAGACGGTGGATTAGAATCTTGTGATCAACAGTATCAAAAGCTGCACTAAGATCCATTAAGACCAAAATAGTAGGATTTTGTGCATCAGTGCTGAGCCTGAGGTCATTGACAACACAAACCATTGCTGTCTCAGTACTATAGTTAGAGCAAAAACCTGGTTAAAACTTTTCATATAACTTGGTTGATGTAAAATATATGTATTTTTTAACTTTGTAAAATTGTTATGTAAAAGCAATGGCACTCTTAAGATCGTGTTTTCACAAGTAACATCACAGTTGTGATTTAATATTGCAATAAGGCACACCCTGGCATGTTATGCTGCCTAAATACCTTCAATATTCGTTTTTAGAGCGCGCCAAACACAAGGAAGCGCTCCGCTGCAGGTGATGGAGCAGGCAGTTCCTCTGAGGTAGACTATGAGGGTGAAGCTTCTTCTGCTGGTGGTGGCGCTGATGCAACTGACACTGGAGGTGAGGAGACCGTGAGCCCAGCGAAAAGAACCCGGTCATCTGAGAACCGGCCTGCGGAGGAAGAGGTGGACGATGGCACGTTCCGCTGCGCACCGTGTGGCTTCAGCACGCAGGACTGGGAGGAGTTTCAGCGCCACATTCCCAGCCACTGCGATTCTGAAAATGCCTCCCAGCAGTGCCTGCAGTGCGGTGCCTGCTTCACTTCAGCAGGCTCCCTGAGCCGCCACCGCTTCATCACGCACCGCTTGCGCCAAGACCAGGACAGCCGGGGGGGGAGCACATCGCCAGGCATTTCGCCACAGGACGGGTCGCCCTCCTCACCCAAGGCAGGAGATGAGGGGGAAGGGGGCATGAGCTGCAGAGTGTGCGGCCGGCGCTTCGATAAAGCCTCGGACCATAACACACACTTTCGCACTCATGGCATGGCCTTCATCACGGCACACAAGACTGACAAGCCCGTGTAAAGGAATGGTAAATGGGAACAGTGTGCGGGGGATATAACCTGCAGTGAAGAGGAAAAGTTGCTGCGAGGTGAACGGCTCTTTTATACCTTGTGCAACTCACTGGCCAGTTGGTGGTGATAGTGAGTAGTAGAAGCTGTTTCTGTTTCTGTAATGTCCAGCTTCTCTTCATGTCTGCATTCCCACCTTTTACTTCATCGTTCTACAAAGACTCAGAAGTCACACCTAAGAGAGGATCTCACCCTGATAACATGACAACGGTTTTGGGCTGTAGCAATGTCAATACATGCAATAAGTAAGCTACTGTGGTAAAGTCAGGGAAATGAGAAATTAGGTATATCCACTGAAGTGAACCAGTGATTTAATAAATAAGATCTTTGTTACAGACACATACAAGAAAGCCAATGCTTTGATTGAATAAGTGACAGTGTATTTGAAAACTAAAGAAAAAAAATCTAAATGGTTCTTTTAATTTGTCCAACTTTTGAGCTGACAATAGATATTCTAAGCATTTCTCCACAACCTCTTTTAATACAAAGCTGTATTATAATTATATTATTTGTCTAAAAGCAATATTCACAACTCCACAATTTTTTTTCCACACACAATTTCCCTTTTGTGTTCCATTACAGTGCCTAGTTATAGTGACTAGCTAGGCATCTGGACTTGAGACTACACTTACACGCCTAAACGTTCACTACTCTGAGATCAGTTGTTATGGCTAGAGCTGCTCAAGGTCTGCTCTTCCCAAACCAGAGCTTGAATTCACAGAGCATTAAAAAGCAAAATAAGGGTGCTAGTGAAGGTTTTTCCTCTTTGTATAAAACACTGACTTTTAGTAATAACGATATTGTATCAACATTGTATTATTGATATTTATTTATATGAATCATTCGTACTGATTGTGAGTCATTTGATAACTTTCCGAGGTAAAATACGGAATGGCATGTGGATGTTTTAGCGTCAAAGAATGGATTAATATGAGTTCTGTGGATTTGTCAAGGAAAGAACTCTCAAGGTCAGTAAGGGAGAGAAGGTTTGCAAAGGTCAATAGTGCAAACGTCAACCATAGAAACCACTTGTGGCAGGACTTTGTTATGATGGCATAATTAAGATGTGTATAAATGCAGTACATTCATGGCTTGCTCTGGTTGTTTTGTTAGAAAATGTGATCAAGTTTAGTCTTTTGTATTTGTATTTCTTTCCCCCCTTAGCTGATTTCAGATATCAATAACGTGAAAGTATCGTTTCTGGGTGAGGAGCCTGGTGTATTTTTTATGAATTTATTCTAATTAAAAGGAGATGTTGAGTGTGTTGGATTGCATTTTATTACATACAAATACAAATGTCCTTCGATAGTCTTTTCTATCAAAAGTGTCTGTGCTCGTTATAAGCCACATTTCTTAAAATGCATTATAAATAATATTGTGGTCATGTGAGTCATCTGTGTGTGAATGTACGAGTGTGTAACCTTAAAACCACATGCTGTATGTCCTTTACATAAGGAGAAATCCAGATATCCATCATATTCTGTGAAGAACTTGGGTCTGCCTGCTTCACTGCCGTACACTCTGTCAGTTCTACTTTGTTTCTGAATAAAATGGCAAACTGTTACAGTACAGCTGCTGCCCCTGTTTCATATGTACTAGTTATATGTGAGCAAGTTTGGTATATGATGTCTAAAGATAGAAAAACATATGTAAAAGAATAGAAATGGGCTGGCTTATCATTACATATTCTATTTATATGCAAAGAAGTACAGTAAATCCCATCACACTGGTTCATAACTGAACAGTTAGTCTTGGGTCAAACACAGTTTTGGATTACTTTGAGAAGGACTATATACATACCGCAAGCTCAAATTATCACATATGGTGGGTGATACATTCACCCAGTTCAAACCAAGCACTTTTTTTAATTAATGCTTCAGTTTCTGATTTTTTTTTCCTGAGGAAGCAGCCACACAGGTTATCATATACCCCAATTCAACCAAATTTAATACCATAAATTAATATGTAGCCTATATCAATTTCTGTTAAAGGGGAATTCCAATTTTTTTTTAATCGAAATCAGCAAAAATGAATGGTTAAGATGTAAACAAAGTCATTCAAAGCGATTTGATGTGAAATTCTACACTCTCAGAAAAAAAGGTACAAAACTGTCACTGGGGCAGTACCCCTCTTGTCACTGGGGTGGTACCCTTAAGGGTACATCTGAGTACCTTTAGTCAGGGAACATAATTGTAACATAATCCATTAAAATAATATTTAAGTTTAAAATCATATATAAGTTAAAATTTATGTAAGTTGTATTGACTCCATGTTCTGCTTTAAAACATAAACCACTTGTGCCTTTGAGGGAACATTTACATTGTTTGTACCTTGATGAACGAAAAACGTACCTGCACAGAACCTTTATTTCTAACAGTGTAGAGAAGCTTACCAAGTCAGAATAGTTCACTGTGCTAATGACTGAAAACAGACATCTGAAGAGTTTAATGCCTCTAAAAGCTCCCACACTGAAAGTTACATGAAATGGTCAAGTATATGCTGCCTGATCCCGAGATATTGTTTTATGGTAGTTTTGTGATGAAGTTCTAGCCTAAAACATATTTAATCCATTAATGGCAGAGGTAGCATGCAGTCCTTTTTTTTTTTTTAGATTTACTACTATTTTACCATTATCAGCATTACATATAAACTCGAACAACGAGTAGAATCACCTGGTTTTGGATTGTGAATGAAATGACTATATTTAGGTTTGAACATTACAACCCCTGGTTCCTATCTCCACCACTGTAAAGAAATTTCATTTCACATCAAACCACACAGAATGACTATTTACATCTCAGCGACTTTGCAGAAATTTTGGACGAATGAGAGGAAATCCCCTTTAAGGTCAAAGGAATCTAGGCCTCACCCTCCATCGCTTGGCTACCTCACATAGCCTCCTCCAGATACTCTTTGGTGACCTCTTTAGGTTTTTCCAGCTGCACGACTTTCAGGTCCGATTCCTGCCACTTGTCCTTCACCTTAGTGATGTCTGGCTCAGGGTGGTGTACGCCAATCAGCAACTCATAAATCAATGAACCCACAAGGCCACCAACACAAGTGGCCACTAGGGGCACCCACCACCATCCATCTCCAGCCCTGCCACAGAAAGAAATAAGGATTTAGCCCTGTACAGACACAAAACAGTAATGCAAAAATACTGTACTAGCATACTAAATGTACACTATTTAGTGGACCTTTAACTGAAAAATATGGATAGCATATTTTTAGAATGTATCAAATGTTTATATATTGATTCTAATAACTTACACCGATCAGGCATAACATTATGACTACCTCCTTGTTTCTACACTCATTGTCCATTTTATCAGCTCCACTTACTACATAGGTGCACTCTGTAGTTCTACAATTACAGACTGTACTCCATCTGTTTCTCTGCATAATTAGCCCCCTTTTACCCTGTTCTTCAGTGGTCAGGACCCCAGTGGACCCTCACAGAGCAGGTACTATTTGGGTGGTGGATCATTCTCAGCACTGCAGTAACACTGATGTGGTGGTAGTGTGTTAGTGAGTGGGCACAGTGTTTAAAAACTCCAGCAGCACTGCTGTGTCTGTTCTACTCAGACCAGCACAACACACACTAACCACTATTTTTCATAAAGATCTCCTGTCCTGTAGGGTTTAGCTCTAACTGCGATCCTTCCCACCTTGTACATGTAATTATTGTCTTCAGAGGTCCTTGATAAGACAAATGAGCTGTTGTTAGATTTGGGCTAAAGGTGAAACCTTCAGAAGGCAGATCTTCAGGAGGAGGACTGGTTACCACTGTCTAAAATACATACAGATGAATCTTTTTGACATGTAAACAATAACAAAAAATAACTTCTTTCTGTTTTCGTAACACTTTTTAAGCTTGTTCTGTCTAAATATTTACAACAGTTTGAATGGTCAGAGCAATTATAAGAATGAAAATTGTCATTTGATAGCTGGTAAATGCTTATTTTTTTCCTCTTAAGATCTGCAGGATCAAACTTTTTGAAACAACGAGCTATTTAGTGCACTAAATAGTTATATTCAAATATTACTTTTATTTTGCTCTTTTGCTAAATGGCCTCCCCCTTAGAAATTTTGTGTGGAGATATTTTCTTGTGTCTTCACTATGCAAACATTTTTTAATGGTTTGGGAAATGTATGTAAAATGTTTATACTTCACTGAAAATTCACTAGGAGCATCTAACAGATGGGTCTGAAGGGCCCTTCTTAAGCTGAAGTGGCTCTGTTAGAGCAGGAAAAACACTAACTTGTACAGAGCAGGACTCCAGAACCAGTTTTGAGAACAATAGATTCTAAGAGTTTGTGAGAAGAAAGTGTTCAAAAACCTAGTAATCAAAAACTACTTGCAATTAAATCCTTACATTAATGTAAAGTTCTTCTATAAAGTTTCCATTTTTGAAAAAAAAAATTTTGTTATGACATCAGTGGTACATGTGTTGTGGTGATGCATGTGTTGTAGGCTGACCTGAAAACCTCACCACCCCAGCCAGCAATGCAGCTGAAGATTCTAGGCCCAAGGTCTCGTGCAGGGTTGATGGCGTAGCCGCTGTTTGAGCCCATTGAGATTCCAATTACCATGACAACTGCTCCCACCAGAACAGGTTCCAGACCAGGAGGGGCTGGAGTGTTGTGATCATCACCCAGCGCCAGAACACACACTAGGAGGGCTGCCGTGCCAATCACCTGAGGAGCACACAGTCCCTGATATGGTACTCACAGGACAATGAACAGTGGGCAGTATGATGATATGATATTTTGATAAATTATGTCACAATACACTTTTCTGAGTGTATCTTAGGCATCGTCATAAATAAAAGACCAACTTAAACCAATTATAGAAAGCCTATAAACAACAACCAGGGTACAGTACCTGCATAAACTGCACAGAAAAAGAAGCTGATAGGATGCCAGTCCAGTATGACATCACATTTAATTAACTGATTTTTTTTCAAAGATTAAACTTTTTTTAATAACCATTTTTAAATGTGTTTCACTTTCCTGAATGAAGATGCACATTCACTGCTGACGTTTGGCACAGACCACTCGTCCACTTCCAGCACTGCTCAGTGTCTCTAAGTGCCACAGCACACCATATAATATTTTGGTATTTGTGCTCCAAATTAAACAGTAATATTACACCCAGAATGAGCTGACTACCTCAGCTAACATCACTAGCCTAGTAACATTTAAACCATCCCAAATACCATTAAGCTTGTTTGTAAACAGGTAGTTAGCTGATATAAGATAAACTCATCAGATCAGTGTAGAGGTTGGTATCTTGTCGGACCCACCACTATATCTTGCGGTGTGGGGCTAATATTCAGTATCATGCATGAGGTTTCCCAGCCCAGTGCGAGTGGGAATGGGACAACACATACATGTAAAGAAATCCCACAGATTAATTAACAGCCTAAATAAAATGATAGTCACAGTCAATAATTAGGACATTTAAATTATACATAACCACAGAAAAAGAATATTAATAAACTCGTTATAAAGTGTTGTGAAGCAAGCAATCACATGAACAACATGCAAATATCATTCTTGTAGGCTACAGATATGGCAGAACCTCCAGACAGTTTGATGGGCATAGCTGTGGAAAGTGCTCCTAATAAAGGAAAATGCATGACAACAAAGCAAGTATGACATAAGTCAGTTGTTTTAATTTGTGACTAACACAGATGGAAAGCAGCTATAGGGGACTGTGGGCAGGAGCGGGATGAATTCTTGTGGAAGTGCTGAAAGGTTAACTGAATTAAATCTATATGGGTAGAGTGCAAATGAACTTGATGTTTATTGGTGCTCTCACCATGACACATTTTAGATGTGCTTTGTACTCTGTACTTTCTGTAGTACGATCAGTGCTTGGTAGCCTTAAAAACCATGGAGAACCATATGTTACTTGTGAATCTGTAGCTTGTGGTATAAAAGGTGGGAGTGACACTGTTACTGTGTTATTGTAAAGCAACCTTGTCTTCTTCTTCTTCTACTTCTTCTTCTTATTATTATTATTACTACTACTACTATTCAGCCACCTCCATGACATAAAGAATAATACATGCAAATAAACAGTAGTGTGTCTTAAAATGACTATATCTCAAATGTGATTTGGAAGAAAATTTGCAGTTAGGCTTACCTGGTCTACTACTCCTCCCCAAAGACTCAGATACTCTGCAGGGTAAGTAGAGAATATACCTGCTGTGGCAGTGGCCCCACTCACTGTAAGGTGCCCCCCACTGTAATAAAATATGGCATCTAGACAAGAAGCACACACAGACACAGTAAGACATGCAGCTTAAAGTATAGCTGCAGTTAGGGCTGCACAATAAATCACATTTTAATGTCATCGTGTTATGAGTTTCTTTTGTTTTTGGAGCCTTTTGTAGTAAAAGCTGTTGATGTAATACTGTTTCTCAGTGCTTCAGTGCAAAAAAATCAGCTTGTAGTTCAGATGTAAGCAGCTGTTAGTATTTCATTTCTTTTTATTTTGCACAATAGTGAATGTTGCTTTTTTTGTATTTTTAAATTTTTTTAATTTTATATTTTGCCATTTGCTTAAAGGAGAGTTGTTAGATTTCTGTTTACACATCCACAAAAATATCTGTACTTGCATCACATCCAGTCAGAGGCACATTATTTTAATAATAATTTATTGCTTCTCATATCATCATGATATCCAACAGCTTTATCGATTGTCGCATTTTATGTCCATATCATGCAGCCGTAGCATCAGTACTGTCTTCATCACCATACACTTAGCTATCACCTTAGTTCAGAGATACTGTCTAAATCACTTTTCACTCACCATAATACTGCAAAGCAACAGTGGCTGCCGCCAGGAAGGCCCCGAAAATCTGTGCGAGGACATAGAACGGAAGCCGGGCCCATGAGAACCTGCCCAGGAAACACAGACTTAGGGACACTGCTGGGTTCATGTGAGCTCCTAAAACCGAAGACATCAGAAAACAAATTGTCTTGCACTGAAATGATAATGTACTCTATCATGCAGAAATAAAAAATACTCAGAATCATAATATGATGTTCTTGACCTATCAGAAACTCTACCTGCATGTAAACCTGCATGGATCTACAGATGTGTAGACAAAATAAATGTCTAAATGGTTTTCTTCTTCTGCTTGGCCTTTTAAGTCAAACTTCACAGCAACTTTTGAACATACAAAAAATGAGTTTCAAGATCATGAACTGGATGTGGCTAAAGCACTGTTATGATATGTATTATGTTCCATGTTTTGCTAATCCATCCCTCCACCAACCAACAAACTCAACTCTCAATCGCTCCATCAGTCATCCATTAGTCGTTCATGAATCCTTCCATTCATCCATCTATCAGCCAGCTACCCTAAAATACTAAGTCTTACCTGATACTCCTTTTGACACATAGATTCCAAACGTAGTGCCAAGTGCAAATCCAAGATTGATTGACAGGTATTCTCCTTTAGTGTTCTCAGATGTTGTCACCTGAGCGACTGAGCCACAGCCAAACAGCTACAGGGAGAAGACACAAGTTAATTCACTTTGAAAGTGCAGTACAATACAATTCAGTAAGTACTTAGATTAGTGCTTTTTGGTTACAAACCAATCAGTGGTCAGCTGCAAAAAATGTCAAAAACTGCTGACGTATGATCAATTTTTACCTTTAATAACCCCTTATGAATATAGTCACAGGGGCTGGGGAGGGCCTTTGGGGGCATTGGATCATTGGTGCCACCAAAACAAAGGTGGGGGGTGGGGTGTTGATGCCCATGGTTGTGCTATTGGTTATAATTGTAATTCAGACACAGAACTTAACTGAACCCTTACAGTGCCAGCATAAAAGGTTCCAAGGAGATTGTTTAACTGTGAAATCAGTTATTCATGTCATAATTGTGAACCAACATTTTATGGAGTCCTATTATTTTATGGAGACCATTTAGAGACAAAAATATAAATTTTTATTAGTGTTAACATACAGTCTGTGTTGTGGGGGTAGATCATTAATCTAGTGCTGTGATTTGCAGGCTGAGAACCATTTCTGTTTCCTTCTTCACCCCCTCCATGCTTGAAAGTTCAAAGTCTTCAACCAAACACTGTCTCTTGACTATGATAAGTAAGTTCTACAAATCAATCCTAATGCAGATTTGTAAGAAAGATGAAGTGAGAACTCTCTCAGTATCATGGTTCAGTTTGGTTTTGGAGAAAAGCAAGAAAAGAAGAAAACTTTAATCTGCATTGCGTAAACGAGATCCAAAATTAAGTAACAAAGTGGTCTGCATTACACTCAAAATGACTTTCTCAAGACTATCACATAACAGTTGGTATTAAGAACTGTAACCCCAGGTACTGAAGGACCATACAGGATAAATAAGGAATGCAGACTTACTATCAATACATACACTCCAAGAAACTCGGCGAGGCATTCTCTGACCAGCTGACTCTTGATGTGGCATCTCTTCAGTAGCCGATCCATTCCGTAATCATCCAGTTTAATGCCTGTTGCAAGTTCAGTAGAGTATAGTAACACAAGTGCTGGTGCATTCACCACTCCAAACAAACAACAGGTAGACTGAAACAAGCTCGATCAGCACTTACTGACTCACTACAGAACAAACAGCCTTTTTAATGATCGGCGCTTGTAGTTGACCAGCTCTCAAGACTCTCTGTTGTGCTGTGAGCATTGAATATTATGGAACCTGAGTATGTGAGTGAGTGAATGAGTGCAGTTTTACAAAGCATAGTGCACCTAACAGCAATTTGGTACCATAAAATAATCAATGGCAGCATTATGTTTTACATTCTGTCTCAGGAGCACTGCAGATGAACCCCAGATAACACGTACAATAAAATACGTGGCATACAAACGAAGCATAAAAGAGCAAACGAAATGATGCACAAGAAAATAAGTCCACATCTTCCACAGAAAATACACTCTTGCACATTTTAATGCACAATTAGTGTCTTTTGCTAATTTAACACACTGGGAAAAAATCTAAACGTAGCCACAAGCGTTTAAACTTTTGCATATGACTGTAAGGCAATCACCGTAATATCTTTTGATATCAGTGAGAGAATCTGGGTGTGTACATGTTGTGTAAAGTTTTTCATGTAATTTAGATTAAATAATATTGCACACATAAAAAATGATAAAACAAATTTAAATGAAAAGTTCAGTCCATTGTGTTTTCTTTATGTAAATGGAACAAACAGCATGTCAGTTCTAATTCAGTTACATATAAACCTGAAAAGCAGCAATATGATCTTTAAAAGAACTCAATAGAAAAGAAATAGTCAAAAACTGTTATTTAATTTTAAGATTGGAATCGTTTTTGTTCAAAACATTAAATCAGCAATCAGCCAATTTATTGATTTTATTCTAGTAAATCTGGTGCAATGTGTTGCATAATTAATGTGAGGCAGATAGGTGCACTTCAGTTGTATTTGAAAGCTGCTGCTACACCTATATGCTGCAGCATAATTATGCATGACTCACAGTGCTAAATAAGCCAGTTGTGTCTTACTTTTCACGTAGCAATTTATTTCATTCATGTTATACTACTAGGCAACTAATTTAAAATTGAATAAAATTAAATGCCAGTTCTGTTAAAGAGCAAATATACTGTACAATAAATATTGTTTATATTGCAAATTTTCTAATTAAAAAAAAGTCTTCATTTACACCACACAGCGTGAGCTTTGGATTTAAAAAGCAGCTAATAAAAATCACCCAAAAGAAATCAACCATCGGCTAATTTGGCTATAAAGAAATCAGAATCAGAATCGGCCATATAAATCATAATCGGTTTAACATCTCATGCCTGAAACATACTTCTTCCTGAGCCATCCATTATGGTTATGGAAAACATATCTTATAGTTGTTCCCCACCAAATTCATTCAACCCACACGATCACCACTGTGAAATATCTGAAGTCACATGTTCGCATGTTCAAAATTCAGATTTCCTTAAGATCATGGAAAGAAGAGTTTTCCCCTTTATTTGAATGATTTTGTGATGCTGACTGACGAGGTCACATTGAAAGTATAACCTTGTTACCCAAATTACAGATTTACAGAATTACAGTAAATTATTCAGTAAAAGAAACCTTCAAAGTAAGTTACTATAATGTCCTTAAATTGTATTTGTTAATTCTTTGCCAAAAAAAAAACAACAAAAAAAACTAACCAATTAATTTCAAACCTGTTACTTATCTAAGCCATTGTCAGCCAAGTAACATGAGATATTGTTCTTGAGATGAGTTAGCACATTTTTAAATAGTTAAATGCATGTTTTCTGACATTCAGCATCACAAAATTATAAAAAAAAGTTATGTTTAAAAGTGTCACTTCTGGGTGAAATAACACTATTATATTCTCTTTCTGAAATCCTTCATAAGATGTGCTATTAAAATGGACTGGACTTAAAGGCCAGAATGGTAACAGTCCTATTGACACTAAACCTTCTAAACTGCAGGCCAGCCTTAGCAGAGACAAAGACAGTAAGGTCCATCAGTGTGGCTGAACATTATTAGACCTGTTTTGAACTCTCAGGGCTATCTTACACATTTAAATAAATTCTTGAAAACAATAGTGCTAATGTCATATAGTATACTATTAAACCCTTATTGGTCTGCCCAACTATTTGGTAGGGCACATTGTTAGATGAAAAAGTGCCTATGTGTTTCTACAGAACTCATTCAACTGGTTGATCATTTGTTTTCTTTTTTATCTTGTCAAACAAAAACGAATACGGCAGGTAGCGAGACAGACACTCACTATCTCTGCCTGTTTTTCTCTGAAGATATTTTCTAATAGTTTATTTGCGTACCATGTTCAGTGGACAGAAAGTTTGCCCCTTGGTATAAATGGCAATTGTAGGGTAGAGTGGAGGGAGTTTTTTTAACCACATATAAGAACACCATGAGTTCCTTCACTTTGATATTACATAGCTTTTGTGATCAGAATAACCACAAGAAGTGTCAAATGCAAGTCTGAAACATTAGTACCAAAAAAAATTACAGTAGTGCCACAAAAAAGTGGAAAAGGAACATGAGAAGTACAAGCTGTCAGACTCTCCACCATAAATGACTTTTCACAAAATAACAGATGGAAACCAAGTGAGGTCACTGTGTGCATTTTTTTTTTTGGCATTATCCTCTGTGTTCTTGAGCCTGTCATTGTTTATTTTTGTCTTTTGTCCATTTTTCTGGTACTCTTCATCCTATCACACCACATCTTCAAGGCTCAACTATTATGGAAAAATAAAACAAGAAAAACATTTGTATATTATAGCTTTTATTTCCTTTCTCAGAATGCAGTCTATGTACAGATTGAAGCCAAAAAGGCTGTTAAAAATAACTTATAAACTCTGTAAAGAGTAACTAACAATTATAGTGTAGGCTTGTTCAAAGGTGTGTTCATGGATATAGTGAAGAAATATACACAACAGAGAAGTCTGTGGCATATTGAGCACAACTTGTAAATGCTAGTCTTCGTCTATTCAGCCTTTGAAGCCTCCAAAGAACTTGGTGAACATCGAAAACTCATCATGCAAGTCTGAGAAATGCTGAGAGCCACCTGTGAAGACAGATGATTTAAAAATAGCATAAGTAAGTTAAGGGATCATTAACTACTCAGTTTCAAAGAAGGAGAGGTCAATATACAGGATTTAACACAATTACTCTACAAAGCTCTTCTACTTGTTGAACTCTTTCACTTTGGGTGAGTTTCTATACAAACTTAACGTCTATAAAGCAGTGGTTCTAAACCCTGATCCTTGAGTACCTACACTTGGAAGGTAACCCCTTTTTGTGGTGCTCATATGTCAAAACATTTAACAAAAACTGCTAAATGTTAAACAGTGACCCAAACTAGGAGACAGTATTAGCTAACCTAATATGATAAGAGCTCTGTTCACCACAGAACAGGTCAGATTCTGGCTAACTGAAGAACTGACAGTTTTGGGCGACAAATACTCACATCTGAGAGAAAGAAGTTGAGCGATGGGCATGCAGGGACGGAAAAGCAAAATTAAACCTTTTTCATGGGTTTTGAATCTGTAGCCTGCTGGCTAAGTCAACATTAGAAAGGCCATGTGACTGTGACACAAAATAACCAACCACAAACCACTGTTTTAGTGTAACTTGTAGGGTTAAGTGATTTTTAATATTTTTTTTAAAATGCATATCAGGCAACTACTTGGAGTCATGTGTGTCCCATGGGATACTGTCCTGCGTAGTTTTTCCTGGGCTTGATTTAGCAGCACATCAGATCGAAAAAGAAAACATAACTGGTTTAATACAACTGCAGAAACCATTTGGCTTTACAGCAGAGAACAACAGCATCTGTGGGGCATCGGGTAGAGGCTGTTTTATTTTTGGATAGGGTTGAATGTCGGATGTGTTTCCATTTCCGGTTCTGAAAGTTTTTAGGCAAATCTCGCAGACTAGTTCACGCCATTTATTTTTCACTAGACAGACGTGGAAAAGAAAAACACCTTTTAAATATCACTATAGACCTTATTATCATACCACCAAACCCTTACTGCACTGCATATTTGAGTTTTCCCTGCTCTAACACACCTGATCTGACTAATCAGCTCTTCCTGAATTGTAGCAGGGGCAGTACAGCAGTTAAACGTTAAATTGTGCAGGGTTCCGCTACTTTAGGACCAGAGCTGTGAACCACTTCATCAATCACTCCTTATCGAGAATAATGCTAACAAAGCAAATAATGGACAAAAAGAGGCTGCCAATTCAGATTATGAGAGTGGGAAAGCTGACCTGGCATGAGTGGCCCAGACTGATCCTGTGGACCATCCTGGACACCTGGTCCTGAGCGTGTCACCGTAGTCTCCTCATTCCCCTGGCAATCCCTGACTGTACGTCTCTCTTCTACAGTCTACACAAATCATAGACAGACATGCAATTTAACACAACTTAATTTCTGAAGTATGTCTCATAAGTCTTGTAATTCAAAAAAGCTACAGGATTACTCACCCCATCAGGTTTTACTACTTTGGTAACTGTGACAGACTGAAAGAATGATTTTGTTTTAGGCTGTGATGGAGCTGGAGTTAAGATCTGTTCGAGTCCACCTGAGGATACCTGTGAATCCAGATCTGGAGGCAGAGTCAGGAAGGAAAAGCTGAGTGAGCCAGAAGAAACAGCAAAACCAACAGGAACAAAGAGGACAAAAGCTGAAGAACAAATGCTGTATTTATACTTCTGCAAAGATGCACATATGAATATCTGCCTTGAGCTGCAGTGAAGGGAATTATGGGTAAGCATCTTGCAAAACTGTGGAGTTGTACTTCAAGTAAACACTGACAGGCTTTCTGATGTGGCTGAGCTTGCTGAGGTATTAAGCAGTTTTGAGTGGTCTCTCCCCCCGACAAGAGATCACCAAAAAGTTGTTTTTTTCATTTTTTATTTTTAAGATGACAAATGCTGTTTCCTCTCCTGCTGTTCAGAGCCAGATCAGGGTTGACAGATTGGGCAGGATCAGAATTTCATCTTGCTACTGAATAATTAACAGTGTTTTTTTCATTACCTCTACATATTTCAAATATGTTTAATTAAAAAGCAAAATGAAGTTTTATGCAATAATGAAACAAATAAAAAATAAGAATGAAAGACATTTTTACTATTCAGTTACCAAAATGAACCGTTTTCATACTGTTATAGAATATTCAAACACTCACAAATGAAAATGTTTGATAGTTGGAGCCCTAGTTTGGACACTGCCCCCTAGTGTACAGGT